CTGCCTCTCTGTCTACTTGTGATCTTTCTCTGTCAAATAAATAAATAAAATCTTTAAAAAAAAAAAAAAAAAAAGAAAGCAGCTTAGAACCAAGTTGCAAAGTGTCTAAGGTTATTCCCACCCTTTCATTCAGTAATCCCACTGGAAGTCTCTGAAAATCCGAAGTCAAAAAGAAAAAAACAAAACACAGAATTGCTTACAGAAAAAGAAAAAAGCAAAATTCCCATTTATTTAAATAAATATAAAACATTTATATTTAGTTGTTTAAGGAAAATTCTAATCATTAAAGTGTTTGAAAAATTGCAATTACATATGTCCTTAAGGAATAACACACTGGAATATTATGGAACCATGGAAAGAACATTTTGAAAAAGCTAGGAAAATGGTTATTTTTATAAGTAAAATAAAGCTGGTTATAACATTGGCTAATGAAGTATCCTCCACAACTCTGCATGGGTGTTGATAGAATTAGACACTGCTGGACGTGTATGCTTAGTAAATATTAATTGATGATAAAGACTGAGATAAAGGATAATTTCTAAAATTTTTTTTCTATGCTTCAGATTTTCTATGGTGAGATGTTTTGTTTTTATAATACAATAAAACTATAAAGATGCCCTACAATATTGCTTGCTTATAAATTGTATATGCAAATTTCAGCTCACTGTCCTGGAATGATCTATCATTCCTACTGATACATGAGGAGTGGGAGCCCCAAACTTTATTCTCACCTGGTGTCCCATCTATCATATGTGTGCAGTCTGGGTCTTTTGACTGCCAAGTCATATGACCTTACCGGATCTTGAACTGTGCTGCCATGTTCCATGCTTTGCATTAGGAGACAGGAAACTGAATTCTAGTCTCTGCCCTGTCACTGGCTTGCTGGATGATTTGGGGTATCTCACTTTTCTCAGGGTCTCTCTTTCTTGGATTTTTGCCCTGCTGATTATAAGATGGCTTTCTTTGCTCTTCTCTCTTTTGACGGAGAGCTGTATCCAAAAGAGTTGATCAGGGGCACCTGGGTGGCTCAGTGGGTTAGAGTCTCTGCCTTGGGCTCAGATCATGATCTCAGGGTCCTGGGATCGAGCCCCTTGTCAGGCTCTCTGCTCAGCAGGGAGCCTGCTTCCCCCTTTGTCTCTGCCTGCCTCTCTGCCTACTTGTGATCTCTGTCAAATAAATAAAATCTTAAAAAATTTTTAAAAAATTTAAAAAAAGAGTTGATCATCATGTCTAATATTGCTCCCTCTGGTCACTCCATCTTTTTCTCTCTGTTTTATTTTCTTGTTACTGTTTTCATTTTGTCATTATGTTATACCATTTTGTTGTGTTTATATTTCCACATTTTGTGATATCATTTTCAGAAATTACCTTGTTTATTTCTTTGCCTGTTTATTGCATGTTTGCTTATGTAGATAAAAGCTCTGTGAGATCGTAACCTAGCCTATCCTGGCTGATACAGCAACAAAAACCCAACTCAAATGGAAAGGATAATTTGTCTTGTGTAGCTTAAAGGGTTGGAGTAGCTCATAGAATTTAAAGAAGTAGAAATCAGGACTCCAGAAATGGCAAGTTCCACATTGTGTGAACACATACCTGTATGCGCTTATTTCTTCTATCCCCCACCCCACCTCAGCATTTCTCATTACCGCATATCTTTGCTTTCCTTCACCCTACATGTTTCATCCATTCGGAAGGGAAGAATTCTGCCAGAAGCCCTAAATTCACTTGTTTCAATTTAACATTTCCAGCAGTTTCATTGCCCCCATGTCAGAGGGCAGCCACTGGAAAAGATTCTAATTGGTTTTGCTTGGGCTATGTATGCTTCTTTGAACCAGTCACACTAGGAGTAGAATTGTCAGTGGTGCTTGCTCATGTGTGTGTATGTTGTTGGTTTTTTTTTTTAATTGTTTGCATACATTCAATTTGGTATTTCTGTGCAAAAACTTGTTTAAATCATTGACCATTTTGTGGTGTTCAGTTTAGGTAGAACTGCATAGTAATAACCTGTACTCCACTTAACTTCCATATGTAAGTAGAGATACTCATATTTTCTTCTTATGCTCCAGTGAATAGTTTTGCTCTCCTCCTATGTGCCATGTTGTTACATCCTTGAGTGTAGGAACAATAACTTCCTTCTTTTCTGTCCCTGCAATATTAGGAAGAAAATGCTTCATAGTTAGTAGCTACCCTCTGAATTTCTGACATCAGATTAAATGAGCTGCTTATTAACTAGCTGAATTTGTGGGCTTCTTCATTCATTAAATGAGCTTTATTTGGTGAGGATATGATTAGTTTTCACTACTCTGAAAGCAGAAAAGACTAAAACTGTCTTTATTTTTAGTTTAAGAAATGCTATTCAGTAATGCTAATGAAGAGAAAGAAATCATTGATCATTTCCTTAAAGCCTCCTTCACATCATGAATTCGAGACTCTCTTATTGATATTTCCTTTAACTAATCGATTTTTACCTTGTACCTTATTTAATGATATGGATAGCAGTATCTATGGTAGGTAGAAAAATTGCTCTCAGGATTGTTCTTCACGCAGATAAACTGCAGATCTTACCCTTGACATTTGAGTTAAAGAAAAGCACACTTGCAGGAATCCATCAGAGACTGTGTCTAGGCTAGTAACTGAAGCTTTAGGCCCTTACCAGCAGACCGTGGTGTGTGATGTAGTACTCTCGCTTTCAACTGTAAACTTTTAGAAATACAGAATCTAGGGCCATAGCACAGACCCTCAGGGTCTGCAATTTAAGAAGTTTCTCAGGTGATTTGTAAGCATAAGTTTGAGGTGCACTGCTCCAGAGATAAGAATCAGATTTCTGGAAGGCTTGTAGGGCCTTGAAGGTTGGGCTTTGAATATAATTGGTATCTTCAGTGATATCAGTCACTGAAGATATCAAGTGATCATCCAAATGGTGATGTCCTTCTACTGTGAGCTTGTGTGAGACGTTACTAATTTGCTCAGGGGACTCTTTCTGCCAGACTTCAGGATGCTTGTCCACATTCTCTGCCTAGTCTGGTAACTTTCATGGAGACGGAAAAGTTGGCCTGAGAGTTAAGATCTATTTATCAGCCTTGCCTGAGGACCAGTTGTTGTTTGCTAAGTAGTGTTCAATAAGCAAAATAGACCAAAGGAAAATCTGGATTATTGAATCTTGCAGGTATGGCTTTTGGATAATTTGTTGGCCAAATAATAAAGTCAAGGTCATGAGCTTGGACCTCAGCAAACCGGATAATCTCTTAATCCACTCCTTTTGGTCTTGCTCTGTCTCCTATCCATTTGTTCTTCCTCATGCTAAACTCATTTTGAATTCCTCTCACTAACCTTCATCTGTTCTTTTAAATTAATCTTTTCTTGGGGCGCCTGGGTGGCTCAGTGGGTTAAAGCCTCTGCCTTCGGCTTGGGTCATGATCTCAGGGTCCTGAGATCAAGCTCCACATCAGGCTCTCTGCTCAGCAGTGAACCTGTTTCCTCCTCTTTCTGCCTGCCTCTCTGCCTACTTGTGATCTCTGTGTGTCAAATAAATAAATAAAATCTTTAAAAAAATTAATCTTTTCTTGATTTTTCTGATTGGGGTACTTGGGAGAAGGATCATTTTAGCTATAAGCCCCATCTCCCAGAGGCTCAAACTCTGTCACTGACTTGTATGAACACTGATTGTCTATATTCACCCTTTTGAAACAAACTCAGACTGAATGCCTTATCAAGGTCATCTGCTTGCCCAAAACGTTACCCCAAAAAATAGAAACTGGGAGGATGGTTTAGAGTCCACTTCCATTGCCTACTTGAACAGGCTTGACATTGTCACAGTTCCCCCATGGTTGCCAAAGATGTAGGATCTGAGTCAGCTTTTTGAGTTCTGTTCACGATTCCACTACTTCCTGGAGTGTGATGTGGGGCAAGTTAGCACATCTCTCTTTTTTCAGTTTGTTCTTCTTTCTGTGAAGTGAAATAAATCTAGAGCCTAATTCCCAGGGTTGCTCTGGAGATTAATGAGAATTAGGTAAAATTTGGAACAGTACCTGGAGTATGCTGACCTTTTACTACCATTAATGTCTGCTAATTTCATTAGTGTCATAATATTTGCAGGGATTCTGGCTGTGATGGAATAGGGGATTGGTCAGGGTCAACCAAAAACAATTGTAGGTACAACTTTCTTTTTAATATTATCCTCTTCCCTCCAGACTTAATTCTTTATTATCATGTAAAATTATTCTCCTAAGACATATAAATCATCAGTTTAGTCAGATCCAGGGTGTTTCCTCCCCCAAATTGTGCCAAGTTTGATATAAACCAAGGTAATTTGAGTAACTAACCAACATCCAAATACATCCGCATCAATCAGAACTCAGGCTTTATTATTGTGCAGTGAAAAAAACGAAAACTTAATTCCAAGTACATGTAATTAAAGTTTGCAGAGAAAGATGTTGTTCCTAAAACATATTCAATATTTAAAGGAAAAAATGACACTTATTTGAAGAACAGAATATACTTAGAATTGTTGGCTTATAAAAAGCCCATTTCCCCCAAGCCTAAGCTTTATAATTTCATATTAGGCAATGAAGTTATTTTATATGATCTGAAACTATTTAATGGAAATAGCATTTGACAGAGTAAAATGTTACATAGATGTATGACTCCAAAGTAGTAGTATTTAAATTCAATGTTCAACCTCCGAAGGTAGATTGCCCCAATACACTTTAATATATGCTTGTTTAGACATATGTAAGTATATAAATGTAGAAAAGGAAACTGACATATAATATCAACCCTCAGTTTCATCCAGGAGGATTAGGATACTAAAGCCAGGGAAAAGTAGACATGTTTTTTTCCCTACTTTATTTTGCTATACAGTCGCCTTAAGGTTACCCATTCAAGTCAGGAATTGTAATGTAATTCTAGGACTAGAAATTGACCAAATATGCTCCTTTATCATTTCCTTTCAGAACTTGTCTAAGCGTTTTCAAAATCAGGGCATGTATGTGGTGGAGGAAGAGGGTTATGAAGAAAACAAAGTGAAATCAGAACACTTCTGAGACATCTATGTTCTGATGTGGCAACAAGATGCAGCTCCCACCAGGGGATGCAGCAACTCAGAAAAGTTTATGGGCTAGCAAGGTGCCGGGACTGGGATGGAACAGACGCGGCATCAGACTGAGAGATTTCTGGATTTTATCACACCCAGACTCTCTGATTGAGAAAATTCTCATCAATCAAATGTATACTAAACTGTCAAGAGAAAATCGTCCAGGTAACTGTTGTGTTTTTAACATAGACCTCCTTTCTATACAAGGGAAAGTGGGAAGGGTTTGATAGCTCATTTTGCAGAAGCCATATTAACAGTGTGCACATAGCTGGATCATTATTTTCTGATCTCGTAAACCCCATGGAGGGCAAAATCACAAGGAGATGTGGTAACAAAACTGGCTGACTCCTGTATTCCCATGGACACAGATGCCCGTGTGACAATTCTGACTTACTCTTGCAAACCATCAGCCTATAAATCGTGACTGATCTTGCAGTTTTGAGAAGGCCCTATTAAGGGATAATAAATTCGCATATGTACCTCTTGCTACTACGACAGACCTCATCACTCCATTTGCCCTGAGCTGACTGGGAGAACAGGGCACAGTTTTCTCGCTTACCACCATTGGGCTGTGCACGGTCCCAGTTGAGGAAGGAGATGGTGACTCCATGGACATCAACAAACTTTCCCTCTGTGACCATGTCATTGATGCCTAACCAAAAGTCGTTGACACCTGGCAGGCTTCTTTTACCGTAGTCTCGGAGGGCATTGATTTCGTCGGAGTTTCTGGGGATAACCAAGGTTCCTCCCTTGGAGATGCAGTCTTCATTGGCTTCATGGAAGTGCTTCAAGCCTTCTGAAGCAAGGTAGCATTTCCTGTGAACTTTTGTGCCTCGGAGACAGACTGTAAAGATGTGAAATTTGATATAATAAGATGCCTTTTGAGTGTTCCACATCCGGGATTGGACTTGAAAAATAGCAGTTAATATTTGTGGAATGAATGATGTGTCATCATAGTGATGAGTTAATATTTATGGAGATTTTGTATGTGTCAGACCCTGTGCCAAGCACTTTATGATGATGAACTCATGTAATAATCACAGAAATCACATGAAGTGAGATTTTATTACTCCCACCTGTCCATATCAGGATAGTGAGGCTTACAGAAGTTGTTACTTGCCATGACTTAATGTATAAAAACATAACTTACATAACATATAAGATCATAACTATACAAACCCAGGTCTGTCTCACCCTTAAACCATTTTTTGGCCTCGTGCTGCTCTGATATACACATGCTTGTTAGTTTGCACAGCTCTATTGTGTGCTGTTTCCTTGGAACTTTTGGAACTGGGTGGTATTTCATAATTAGTTAACAAACAAAAGTCTGAGTTGACATATAGAGCAACAATAGTTTTGTTATTCAAATAACTCAGCCCTGGTAACTCTGTTCGGGTTATCCAGGATAAACCAAACTTAAAGATAGTTTTAGGGCGAAGCATTGGAAAACTAGGATCTGACATTTGTTAGGTTTGTAATTGTTGGAGAAAATACTTAATTTTTCTGTGCCTCAGTTTCCTCGTCTGTAAAATGAGGATAATCATAATGGTACCTGTCTCATAAGTTGTTGGAGGACTAATGTGTTTGTGTTTGTAGAGTATTTATAGTGCCAAATGGTGGGTAAAGCATTAATAAAACTCTGTTGCCTTCTACATGGGCATTTGATCTTCATTTAGCTTCTGAATTCTGTTCCTAGAAAGCTGATAAAAGGAATATGTCAACAGTATTACTAGGCAAAATTGTTTATGGTAAAAACGACCTTGAACTGATAACATATAGCTGGCCTGGGAGTTATAAATCCTTAATGGAAGGCTGTAACTTTAGTCTTCCCTGAAAGTGGTAACTCATAATTGGACAGGTCTCTTGCAGGACCCATGAAGTTCTGCTTTTGGAGTTGCTATGTAAGGTATTGGATCCTGTGGGTATAAGCCTTGTGGGCAAGGGCTGTTCTTGAACCCATTCAGTATAGCTCTATTTTCCTTACCCCTGGGATCCAAGGAGGGTCGCTCCTGGACAGCATGTGTAGAGGGCATAGCTTGCTGGTAGCTCTACCCCTGTGTAAAGAGGAATGCCAAGTTGTGGTTCTAACCAGTGGCCTTCTGTTTGCATCTGGTGCACCACGTGGCCCGAGTGAGTCCTGTGATCCTGCGTTTAGCTGAACCTCAGCAGATCTCCCAGTAGGCACTTAGTAAACATCTAATGAATGCTAATTATTTTTGCCAATCAACATTTGCTTCAATTCTGTTTCTTTGCCTATTAGAGAAGAATTATAGACAAATTTTTTAAATGCATTGTTGAAATGTGTATTTGTATTTCTATACTATCCATATACAGGAGAAGGGAGTGAGAAATCAAGCTGATATTCCCAAACAGTTGTCTCCCCAGCTTTTGAGTCCTGTCTTCTGGACACCTCTCTGGGTTGTCAATGTCTCTTTTAAAAGTGTCACCTAGAATTTGACATGTACCCTAGGTATGGTTTGAATTTCTGGCAAATCATGATTTCCTGTCTCTTTTGAGATGAAGCATTGATGAGTCGGGTCTTACCTGTCTGTAGGGCTTGCATTTCCTTCAGGGCATTGACTTCTCTCCAGAGCTTTTCAACTTGAGTCTTCAGGTCTCCATCCTTTTCTGGGGATATTTTAGGGTGGGGTAGGGTAGGAGGAATGAAAACATGATTAAAATAAGATAAAAAAATTAAAGCTTTGGAACCCAGAATCTAAGGCAAGGGTGGTTTTGATGAAACTGAGCCAAGTGTACATGAGCATTAATGTGTGAAAATAAGTTGGCCATGAAGGTTCATGAGAGCTTGGTTGTGGTAATAATACTAGATGATCCTTCTGTGAGAGAGGGCTGCTATGCCTCTCCCCCACCCTGTGGGACTCTCCCTCCATCAGACGTCAGACTTACTGACTTTTAGAGCATCTTAGACCAAGGTATGTCATCTCAGGATCCATTCCTTTGGGTTGGTTCCTCCTGCCTGGAACAAACATTCTTGCTCCAGCACTTGTCCGTCTCCTCACTGAGCTGAAATATCTTTTCTAGAAGCCTTTTCTGGTTATCATCTCTATACTAGCATCTGTCTGACTAATCTCTTTTCTTTGATCCTTTACTTTTCTTCAGAGCATTTTTCTCTGTAATTATTTTTACTTACTTAATTTTGGGTGTCTTACTGTCCATGGTGCTCCTGATGCTTAACACAGTGCTTGGCACATAATAGCTGTTCGTAATGTTTGTTGAATGAATGAACAAGATTCTAGGACTGATGGGGTCTGTCTTAGAAATAGACAGTTTGAACTCTTTGGAGGCAAGAATTATAATAAATTGTAATAAATAACAAAAAGAAAAAATACTAAGAACCCTCATACACTGTGTACCACGAGCTTAATTCTTTCAGTATTCCTGTGAAATAGACACTGTTACTGTCCTCAGTTCACAGAAGAAATAGAGGCACAGGAATGAACCTGCTTTAGGCCAGCCAGCAAATAAGGTGCAGTCAGGATTTGAATCTGTCTTACTCCAAGTCTGTGCTCTTCACATCCTTCTGATCTGCTCCTGCACAGTAATTGCCTGATCCCTAGCACATGGCCCTGGACTGAGAAGATGTTTAAAGCTTGGTATGAACTGTCACCACCTGCCTCCTTACACAGATACCATATGAGGAATCTGTGTTCTATCCTGGATTTTTCAGGATAGTCCTAAATCCACACATGCTGATTCGTCATCCTCTTAAACATAAGCTTTGCAAGCCAGGTATTTCCACATTGAGTTAGGAAAGCCTTCTGGGTTGGCAGGAGTGGACCCCATCTGTGTTTCATGTGATATTGCACATCATTTCTGAAAGCATCCAGTAGCTCAGCTCAGAAATACAGTACCTCCAAGAATTTCCTCAAAGAGATCATTCAATCCAGAATAAATGTAAGGGTACATTCAGAATGCAGAACCACCAACTGTGGGAGGCCAGGCTCACCAAGACCACTGAAGACTTTCTTCCAAGTTTCAAGTTGTCAACCATACAAATGTCATCCCCTTTCTCTCTCAGCTTCCTGCTCCATTCCGTATAAATATGTGGCCTCTACACAGAGGCTGTAACGTTGTAATTAACATGAAGACATGAATAATATTAGGATCCTGGGAGATCATTATGGGAATCATTATCCAGGTGACTTGGCTTCTCCTTCTAACCTTTGTGACAAATGTGGATGTGTTTTGTCTACAATGAATACAGGGACTAACTATTTCAATGTAAAATTGAATTTTATTTGTTTCTGCAACATATAATTTATTGAGACCTATGAATTAAATACCAGGGAAATTTTGTTTTTTAGTTAAGTAAGTCCCTTGTTTGCCATTTTGAGTAGAACAAAAACAAAAACAACAACAAAAACTCCCTCTCGTTTTATTATTGTTTTTCTCCAGAAGTAGCTTCTGTGTAGAAATGAAGAATTAATTCTGGAAAATCACCAGTAAACCTATGGAATATATATATACCTCCACCTCATGAACAACCAAAGAAATGTCAACCTTCTTAACAATCAAAGAAATGCAAATTAAAAGAGAGGCTTTTTTTTTTTTTTTTTTGGTGTGGTTGACTGAGCTTAAGCTGTGATATAATGTTAAGTTGTCAAGGTGTGTGGGAATGGCCATATACTGACGATGGGAGCAGTATAGGTTGATGCTATTATTTTGGGAGACAGCTGGAAAGTGTAATGAAGCTGCAGTTTTCTAGAGGAGTATCTTAACTGAGGCAGAGAATCAAAAACAAAATAGATGGGAAGCCACACAGAAGTCCACCAGGAGGGGCACCTGGGTGGCTCAGTGGTTAAAGCCTCTGCCTTTGGCTCAGGTCATGATCTCAGGGTCCTGGTATCGAGCCCTGCATCAAGCTACCTGCTCAGCGGGGAGCCTGCTTCCCCCCTCTCTCTCTCTGCCTGCCTCTCGACTTGTGATCTTTGTCTGTCAAATAAATAAATAAAATCTTAAAAAAAAAAAAAAAAGAAAGAAGTTCACCAGGAAACAATAGATGACATGAATCATGACCCATCTGTGCAGTGGAATATTATGCAGCCTCTAGAAGGACCTATGCATCCCTTATGTTGATAGTTATCCAAGATTTGGTAGATGAAATAAATTAATAACCAGTCCTTATTTGGCTAAAAATACAAGGTTTTAATTGTGCATTAGAACAACTCTGGGAATGTTATTTCCCAATAAGTAATAGTGGGTAATTCTGTGAGGAGGTTTGAGAGAGAAAAAAAACAGCCTTCACTTTTGATTTCATAAAGTTGGGTATAATCCCCAGGTACTTAAAATGTTTTCAAATTGTATATGTTAGTGGAGAGAGAAGTGTTTGGTAAGTTTAGGCTTACTGCTTCACTTACTGCTGTAGAGTCTGCTTTCTTGGACTTCATAGCAAAAACTCACAAAAATTCCTTTGGGAGGATGATGCTGAAGAGGTGTGCACAGTCAGTTAAAAGGCAAACAAGGAAAAGCATGTGTGCACACTTGCGTGTGGTTAGGGATGGGGTGGGGGGAGAGCTACATGACCTGAACCAAATGATCTCAGAAACATCCCCACAGCACACATCCACACATCCACATGTTCACACCCCTCCCCACATCCCTGCTGGGTGGTCACTGCTTTGCCACTGCTTCCCAGCAGTGAAGAGATGCTGACACCAAAAATACACCCTATCATCACACAGTATCTCCTACCTCCCTCTTTCCCCTGCCCTCATCTTCACCGGTACACTTTATCACTCCTGAGAAGTATTTTAATCTTCCATTTAAAAGAGGTAACAGGAAAGTTTAATATTGTATGAGGGAAAAGATTCCACTGAAGAAACCTTGTATCAGACTGAAATCATAGAAATAAATACCCCCTTTGCAAGGCATTTTATAGTATCCAAAACACAACACCCAAGACAAACCTCCTTTTACCCACCACCCATCCGTGTGTGTCAAGTCTGGCTTGCACTTTGTTGGTATGTTTCCTGTGTTTTGTTACTACTGAAGTGAAATCGATAAGCAAGTAGTGTCATAATATTCACCTTGAAATACGCTGAAATGAAAATGAAAATGACTCAGAGGATGAGATAAAACATCACTCTTTGTACTTTGATGCTTTTTCCCTCATGCTTTGCTTCCAGCATATTGCAAATAAATTGCTCTCATCTTTGTTCTTTGCAAGATTTTTTTTTTTTTTTAAGATTTACTTACTTGAGAGAAAAAGAGAGTGAGCAGGGGGAGAGGCAGAGGGAGAGAGAAAATGTCAAGACGACTCCCGCTGAGTGCAGAGCCCAACGCAAGGCTCAGTCTCACGACCCTGAGATCATGACCTGAGCTGAAATCAAGAGACGATCACTTAACTGACTGAGCCCCCCAGGAATCCCTGTTTTTTTCTCTTTTGCCTCTTAACCCAGTTCAAGCCACCCAGACTTTAGGATTGCTTAGAGAATCAGTTTTGCATTAAAATATTTTTGAATGCTATATGACTTCGCATAATGACATATCTTTAAGTTTAAAAACAGGTTCCATTTCTCTCTGACATGAAAAAACTTAAATGTGTAGGATAGACTGTCTTTATATTGTCAAGGGTATGAAAATGTATCTGCGTGATAACCGGTGAGATAAAGGTCTAACTTTGACTATACTTTTAATAAGATTATAGTTATCTTACAAATATATTTGAACAGTTATACAGTATCTAGGAATGAAACAGTATATTCTAATTACTGTCAGTCTATTCTACTTGATCCCTTGTTCATAATAACCAGATATCCACCTATCCAGGTTAACTTGCTCTGAAGAACATTCTGCCCGGCTAAGCTCACTTGACAAAGGATATACAATACAGACATTTTTTCTATTAAAAAAAAGGACTTACGCATGATTCCTTTAAATATCAAAATGTTCCAGAAAATTAAAAGGTCACTCAGTCCCCTGAACTGCCATGTCTGCATGATAGCATGGTGCTATCACCAGAGGCCGTTGTGCTGGAGGAGTGTGGAAATGAACCTTGCCCAGTCCCTCCCCACACTGCGCATGCCTAGAATTTTGCTGGCCTGAAAAGCCCCGTTACCTTTCACTCGGCGTTTACTGTGCTTCTTGGCTTTAAATTTGGACGTGTGGCTGGTGGTCTGGTCCAGGAGTAAGGTGATAACCAGGATGTAAATTACAAGTCCATTCTTTGCCATGGCTCTTGGTCAGGTCTGGTGCCCACTTTGCCAGCTCTTGTGAAGTAGCGGAGAGCAAGAAGGCTGCACAGCCTCATCTTGCCCTGGAGCGCCTGGGGCCAGCTTTATAAAAGTGCGTGTGAAGGTTGGCTGGACTCCTGCTGACGAAATGTTTGGATTCCTCGGCTGACCACAGCATGAGGTGGCCCCTTGTTCTTGTGTCTCATGTTAGACTTTTCTTGTTTTTAATGTCCCTATTACATTCTCTACTTCACTTGCATTTTCAGAGTAAATCAGAGTTAACTAAGGGATTAAGGCCTTTGCCTGCTTTCTTCTTCTTTCTTAAAGTCCAGGAGGTTTGGAGTATCTCTGTGAAGACCTCAGTATTTAAGCCCTGGATTTGGAGCTCTGAAGTTCACTTAATGATGTGGGAAATTTAGTCCCATTTTCAGGGCAAATAAATAAATAAAGCACCCCCCCCCCCCCGGCAAAAGTAGGAAAGCTCCTGCCTGTGTATGAGTGTGTGTGTGTGTGATGCCAGAGTCTACACACACTCAAGGGTCTACACAGCTCAAGTGAAACTTGGGAATGGTTTGCTCACAGAGTATAACAGGGATGGCCAAAGGGATGGTCCATGATCAGACAGAAAGCTTTCTTTTAGGATTTTGTGAATTCATCAGGAGTTACATCTTTGGGAAACACACCTTAGAATGAAAAGAAAATTAAGGTGAATAATTATTTCTGTAAGAATTAATGTAAAACATCAACTCCAGCTGTTTTGAAAATCCCCATCACCCAACACTTTCTGCCTTGAAATTATCCCAAACACTTAAAAAATACTTTGAAAGAAAATATAGAAATAACAGAAGAATAGAATGAAAGACTTAGTATAATGATTCTTACCTTAACAATGGGCTTTTTAGGACAAGTACTAGGAACCAGATAGGCTTTTGTATCAAAAGCAAGGGACGTCCATTATCTTTCTTTTTCTTTTTGAGACAACCTAAGATCAAGGGCTGATTGATTCCCTCTGGATCTTGGAAAACCACAGTCTAATCTGTCTTCATTGCCTTCCTGTGAGAGCCTCTTTGTACCCTACCCATGTGTTAACACTGAAACAAGAACACTGATAAAAGTCTGACATGATTTAGCAATGTAAATGTGAAATAAAGAATAAAGAGTTTACTTACAGCGCAGCCTCCTTGTACTGATTGGGCCTTCTGTGAGGAGGCACTTCACAGCACCGTGGAAACAAGCTGAGCTGGGTTCAGGTTTGTATTTCACCCATTTATCAGCTGTGTGCTGTTGGGCAAGTCACCGAAGCTGTCTGGGCCTGTTCTCACACAGAGCTAGGAATGCCTACTTCATAGGGCTGCTGGAAAGAGTAAATGAAGTGATAGCTTTAAGACCTTAGCACAATGCCTGGTGCTTAATGATAGGAATAGTAACAGCATCTGTAACATCCTCACCGTTGATTATAATAGTATGTACACTTCATCCCATGGAGCACCAGATCTGTTTATTCTTCACAGCAAGTCTATGGGATAAATATTCTCTCCACTTACAGATGATCGAATCTGAGCCTCAGGAAAGTTAAGCGTACTTGTACATCACTCAGATTCCAGTGGAATTGGAGTAGAATTTAAAATCTAGTTTTAAATGACCCTGGAAGGCCTCTCCTTTGACCTGGCCTGTGAAAAATGTGCTTTGATTCGAATAGGGAAAAGGATCAGTGCTTTATAACTGATCTTGCAATTGATTGAAAATACTTTTTGCCAGCTTCTCAAATCCTTTCCTCTGAGATTCTGAGTTACAGAAGAGTCATGGAAAGCTAATGATTTCTCTTGGATCTTTGATCTGTGCTATCTTCTAACTAGATTTGTAAGAAAAGGCTGTCTTTTTTCTTCAAAATAAATCTATATTGTTTTAGGCTCTTTTTCCTTTCCAGGAAGCCTCTGACACTTTTTGGATTTGTTTTCTTTTAGCCAGATTCTAAAACCTATGCTTTCATTCCTTTAAATTAAAAGACTTTATTTTTTAGAAAAGTTTTAGATTTCCAGAAAACTTGAGCCAGAAAGTATGGAGAGACTGCCTTTCCCCCTCCCCAGTTTCTCCTATTATTAGCATCCTGCAAAAAACCAATCAAAGAAACAAAGAAAAAAATCTTGCATGTGTGTGGTGTATTTGTTATAATTGATGAATGAATATTGATCTATTACTCTCCATTAAAGCCTATAGTTTACATTAGGGTCCATCGTTTGTGTCGTACAGCTCCATGCTTCTTAGCAAATAATTGTATAATGTCATGTATCCACCATTACAGCAGCATCCAGAAGAGTTTTGCTGAAGTCCATGCTTTTAGTTCTAATTAAATATTTGAAGATTCATTTCTTCCCCGGCTGTACTGCCTGGTACCCCCTCAGGACTCTCTTCCTAGCTGCTCTAACCTGTTACTCTCTCCCTAGATGATCTTCCTTCTTCTCATGGCTTCACAGTCTCTGTCTGGGACTCGTTCACATTTATCTCTCAGTCAATGACTCCTTCAGAGTCACAGTTCCAGTTGCCCGTGTGACCCTTCCAGGTGGATGTCTCAGAGACATTTCAAACTCATGATGGTTAAAGCAAAATTCTGGATTCTTTCCCCATTAATATCCCATGAATTTCAGAAAGCCTATTCTTCCTGACTCTTCTCCAGTGCTGTTAATATCCCCAACCCACTCAGGGGTTCATTTCTGAAAGCTAGGAATAATCTTTGTGCTTTGCCCACCTGCCCCCACCCCAGACCTTTGTTTGCAACAGCCTTCCTTACAGCCTTGTCAGCAGCAACCTTGTCAGTAGAAACATGTGGTTTCTACTTCTTTGTAGATGGTTCCTCTTTCTTGCCATCATCCATCCCATCTGAAGTCACCTAGAGCTCTTGTCCTGGTCCAGCTCAGCTCCTCTGCTCCTGCCCAGCTTAAGTGAATGCTCCACACATCATTAATGGGATCGTTACTTTCTGACTTAACACCTTCTAAATCTTTCCATTGTACATAAGATGAAACCTGGACTTCTTTCTTTGTTTTCTGAGGACCTTCTACCTGGTAAGACCCATCTGGTTCTTCCTGGTGACTTTTTCCCTTCATGGAGACCCTTTGCCAACTTTGAGTCATATTTAGTTCTATCTTTCCATTCCCATTGTGCTTTCCCACATGATTTTTTTCTGTCTCTATACTGTCGACCCTTCCCAAACTCAGACTCTTGGCGTGAGTTCAAATTAGTGCTACTTTGTGTATGACCAACTCTTTCTTGTCCTCCAGATCTGAACTTGAAGATCACCTTCTCACACATCTTCTCTATCTGCATAATGTAGCAAGGTCCTTCTCTGTCTTCTCCAAGAAGGTACCCTGCTTCTTTTATAGCCCTTTCATGGTTTGGTACTCATTTTAAAAGTGAATTGATGTACTTGATTCACTGGTTGGACGTCAGTCTCTCCGGCTGGGCTGTAAGCCCCCAGAGGGCAGGAGCCATGTTGGGTTAGCTGAGCTATGCATGCAGTACAATGCTTGGCACAGTGTTTGCTCAATAACTATTAACTAATGTGTGGCAGGACGGTCTTGCTTTTGCTTCCCTTCTTTCCAACCTCTGCTCTGAGACTCCAGCAATAAGGCACTTGACCAAGGAAATAGCAACTCAGCTCTTGGAAGAGTAAAGAGACAGACTCATTTGGCATAATAACACTTGACGTCATGCTAGGAAACCATCCTGCTCAGGACTGGGGAGAGACTAACTGGCTTGCACGTGCTTGGTCCTGAGGCCAGACAAGGATAGAGCTGTCCTTTAACTTTTCTTCTTCCTGTTGAGATTCCAAGTCCAGTTCATCCTCCTTTAGGGAAAAAAACACTGGAAACTAAATGACTACAGGATTGGCTGGAAGAAGATGAGAGTAGGATCTGAGAATATTCTTAAGGTAAGGATTTTTGTCCCTGTCCCAAATGCTGATTGACATCAGGCATGGCTTTCACCCCCAGAACCTCAATAGGAATAGCAGGGTGGGGGGAAATGGCAATGATCTGGAAAAAAATCACATCAAGAACTACACACACATCGAAGGTAATGGGGGCTGGTGGCCCTGAACCCACGTTGTCCTTGGGGAAGGCAGGCCTCACTCAGTTTTCTTGGAGGCTAAACAATCCATTTTTTGTGGAGTGGGATGATGTCACCAGCTTGTCTCCTGGGCTGGACCAGGGCTTCTGAAAGGACTATTTAAGAAGAAGTACACATTTATAGCCAGGGAATAGGAACCATAAAAATACTGCCTTTAGTTGGAAAGCATTTTGGTTCTGATTTACAAACTGTCACCAGAGTTTAAATTTCCCTAATAAATTGCTGTTTACAACATGTCTCCTGACCACCCTGTGTAATTGATGTGTTTATTCCACTGGTTGCTATTTTAAAGTTGCTCTAAGCTGCTGTTTTCCAGAGTGTCTAACCAACAAATCCATCGTCCCCCTTGCTGTTTGTCTGTTAATCTCCGGCTGAAATCTTTGAAGGCTGTGTTCAGAGATTCAAGGGCAGCATTTAGGGGAAGTGGTAGGGCTGAAGTTGGATATAGCAGAGATGAGGTTGAAATGCCTGAAGGAAAGATCAGTTATGGTGTCTGTGCAAGTTGTCTCATTTTTACTTAGGGCTATTACTTGTAGCTGTGACTGGCAAAGGTATCCGGGAGTTTGAAGAGACGGCTGAGGACAGGGTTTAGGAAGAGAGTAAAAAGCCCTGCTAAGATGGGGCAGCACTGAATATACATAAAGAGCAAGGACCCCAGTTAAAATTTCAGATCTGTTACTTTTTAGTTGTGTTATATGATCAGACTTTGACGTTTCTCCTGATTGGGGTTTCCTGATCTGTCTTACGGAATGTTGAGAAACCTACAGCATGTGTCTAAAATGCAAGCCACACCTTAGCATAGGCTTTCCTAAAAACCCATCACATAGATGTATGAGGCTTCATGTCTTCATAAGGTCCTCACACTCATCCTTGCCCTGACCTCAGCCCGCAGATTTGACCCCATTTGAACTCATACTGAACATACTTTATCATAAAAC